TCTAATTAATTTTTAAATATATATAAAATAGAAAAAATAATACACAAATTTCTAAATATATTTTCATTTTGTTTTGTACATAAAGTCATAACATATTTAAGAGAAAGTTAATCCTTTGTGAAAAAGTAAATTACAATAAATTAGATTTCGAAATTTATTTTTGAAATAATTCATTTAAAACGCTTACTAAATATTTGTGTACTTGGTAAAGAGCATGTTTCATTAAATTTATTATATACTTATACCTAGTAATCTTAATTTCTAAAACCAATAACACAGAGTTAAGATTCTTAAAAACATTCCTCAATTAAAGATAAAAATGATTGAAAATTAAGTCAGAAAAATATATAATGTACCTTTTATCTTAGGTATAGTTTCATAATAAGTTATATCTCCTAACAATAAAATAATAAATAACTTTATAATTTTAAATATAATCTTGCAAAAAATATAGTACAAATTCATGTTAGAATTTATAAATGATATTAATTTATCAGTTCTAACTTCAATTATATTTGGAAACTTTTTTTATACGCTCTGAAAACTTTATTTAAAAAAATGAAATTATGTAAAAAGCATTTATTTTATAATTATAGTTTCTTCTTATTTACAAAAACAATTTTTTTTTTCTATGATAACTTCTTATGTCATTAAAAAGTTCTATATTCAACAGTTTCATTCAAAATAATAATTTTATTGATTAAAAAGTAATTTTATAAAACTGTTATAAATAAAGAAAATCATATAATAAAACAAAATTAAAAAAAAAGTATAAACAAAAATAAATTTTTTCTAATGTTATTATTATTTCAATACACTCGTTTATCCTTATTTCTACGTATCTTGATGAATATAAACAATTACATATAAAGTAATCAAATGAAAAACGAAAATTTTGTAGATTAAATTTTACTTGATAAATCAATGAAAATGAGGTTTTTACAGCACAGTCATACCTTTTATTATAATGTATATATATATCTATATATGTATATGTTGTGTGTATATGTGTGTATATATGCATATTATGTATATATACATATACACATCATATAATATATATACATACATATATATATACACACACATGCGCGCGCTCGCACATGGTTTCTATATGAATGCATGTATGCCTATATAGAGCATTTACACACTTCTTGCACTCCTTTCTAAGCACAACAAATATTACAGTATATTTTATTAATGATAATGTCTATGAACCAAGAATGATTTATAATGGGCTTACGAAATTTCAATGAGCTGTGTTATTACGTCGCCCACGTCTTTTTCGACTTCCACCGGAAGGACGGTTTGAAGAGGCCCATTGTTCATAAAAACGTTCTGCTTCTAACCATTCTTGATATTTATACCACCATTCTTCCCACTTTATATAATCATCTAAAGTAAGATCTCGAAGATATCCCCTTGCTTTATAATAATCATATCTAACACGAACATCATCCCAACATTCTAGACCTCTTGGTCCTTGTGCTAAAAGTGACTCAGGATAATGTCCTGGTGGTGGAGAATCATATCCTAATCTTGCAATTCTTTCTTCACCCTCTATTACTACTTTCATTGCGTTTTCTCCATCTTTTGTGATACGCATGTTTTCCATGTCCCTACGATCTACGCTCCATTGTGCCATTTTACCAAATCTAAAACAGATTTATATTATTATATGACTTCTATCTTTTTAAAGTGTAGTTGCTATTAAACGGATGTCTCAAATTTTAATTAAGGTTTATAGTTTCTATTTTATAGCTTTATAATTATGACATAGTAAATTAAATCATACCGCTCTGATAGTGTCATTCTAGGTGGACCCACATGTGACGTTGTGGAAGAACTATCACTGTCTTCACTAGGTGAAGATTCAGGAGGAGGCCTAATCATTTGTGTTGATCCATGACTTGAATGAGTTTTTTCTACCTTTACAGGTTTACGCATCTGTACAAGTTTCATAGTTATATATTGAAATATAAAAAGAACATATACATAAAAGGAAAATATCAAAAATTTAAATAGCAATATACTATTTTTTTAAAACCAGAACTCATAATTAACTGCGAACAAAGTATGTTTTACCAATGGAATGGGATCTGGAACCCGTGGATCTTCTGGAATTCTAGCATGATGTTTTTCTTTACGCCGGACCTTGGTTTCTTTTTCTTTAATTGTTTTATAATCCTTTTGATGACGTGGTGGAGGCTGTGGTGTTGGTGGAGGTGTTCGTGGACGTGGTAAAGGAGGTGATCGTGGTCTATTACGAGTTGGTATTACTCGTGAGCTTGATGGTACTACTTCTTTTGGATGTGCTCGTGCTCGAACTGGTGTGAGTGATCTTGAACGCGAACGAGAAGGCTGAGCAATGCGTCGTCGTTCCTTTGGTGAACAAACACTGCACGATCGGTCAGAACAAGTACTTCCTGTGCTTGGACTACGTGTAGGTCTTCCTCTCGTATGTGATCTATCACGCGGTGATTGTGGACTTCTAGTTCGAGGACTACGTGGTCTTGGGATGTGGGGACTACGAGGTCTAGGACTTCTTGGGCTACGAGGGTGTCCTCTGCTAGGTTCTCCACTTGTTGTGCCACCAACATACAATTCCTTATATCCGCTATGTCTCCATCTATTTGGATCTCGTTCCTCTACCTCCAAAAGTTTCTTATTCCAATAACTTGACCGAGATTCACGAGCTTTCCGCATTACACTATCTAATTCTCTCCTTTTCCCTGAATTTTCACCATGCGGTCTGGGTTGTGATACATTAGTATCCATCCGTAACTTACTAGAACTGCTACCACTACCGCTACCTCCTCTTCGCCTATCATAGTCTCGTGACATTCCTAAAATATAAGATATAAATAATGTTAATAATCTACAAGACTATTTTGTTTCTTTCGCATCTTACATTCATAGTTACACCAAATATAGACAATTAGCATTTTTATCATTATTTTGAATATAGATTTTTATATATGATTGCTACAAACTTTTTAATCTTATGTAACTTATAAGCAACTTATTAACACATACCTGACAGAAATGTTAGAATAAAAGATATGGGAGGTGCGAAAAGCTGGTGATCCGAACTCCTGCGAGAGCAGTGAACACGTTAATTTTCAATACATGATAGAATGCCCATAAAGATGATAATACGTTGGACTAATTGCCATGAGATCGCTAGAAGAACCAGTACCACTCGTCCTTTGGGTCGACTGGCCTACGTCAAAAATTCTATATGTCACAAATGGGTATCATCTGCAGTGGTCAAGCAGTGGAAAAGTTAGTATTCCCGATCAAAAGCGTTTTTCTCTCAGAATTTAAATTCGCGAAATCCATATGTGGTACTGGACATCACCCGTCGCGAGACCTTACCATCGCCACTCTCTGCATGTCCAGAATTGTAGTACGCTTCGATCCACGATCCATAAATGTTGGTCGCGTGGACTTTCAATGAGTCGAACCAAATTCAGAGATCGCCCTCGAAAGGCGTCGCGCGCGCGTCAACCGAAGTCAATCGTGTCCAAGTTTTCGTGTTTTTTACCGAACCGAATGTGGACAGGGTATGAAGTTTATCTCGGGCATTACCCGGGTAATGCCATACCGGCGGCACTCACGAAGCCGATTACGATACACGATAAGATTATTCGTCAATGTTACACCGATGGTACACACAGGTGAAAAAATACAATGAACATCGCGGTAAAGCTTTTCGGCGTTTTTTGACATCATTGAAGATGTCACCCGCGGAACGTCACCTTTTCGGTACGCATCGGAGGATATCTTGTCGCGTACGACTCGGAGCCACACCGAAACGCGGCACGGAATTCGTGGCTCGAGTAACGGGTACGTCAAGGTCACGTAAAGGCCCGACTGCGCGATTTCGCGACCGGCAGAACTGTATTTCTCGCGACACCATTTCAGATATTACCCGGGTAACACCTTACTGGTGTCGTAACGGAGAACTCGAGAAGCGCGGAATACCTCAAGTATGGCTTGAGGAAATAAAGAGAAAGAAAGAGAGTGTCCGGAACCGGTATGTACGCGTATAGCCTCCTTCGCTTCTTTCATTAAAAGCGAAGGTCGGCTCTTCTCGCTTTTTCCGTTTGCTGGTACACACCTTTGCACTATATTTTTTTTTAACGTAGCTTCACAAAACTCTTACTCGACAGTATTCAAATAGATCTAACTTTGGCAGTGTTGTCTGCTATTCGTACCGAAGCGTCAGCGGCGTTCATTCGTTCGCACCCGACGGTCACTTTGAAAATCAATTGCCCACCCAGTGAGCGCTACTCGAGGAATTTCACGACATTCACCGGGCTCAAGAACCTTTCGAGATAACGACACTCACTTTTCTCACCGCGGCAAATTGCAAACTTGCATTTTCTGGCACGAGAATCGATGAATCACTTCCGCGTGACGTTTTACGAATGAAGATTGTTAAGGAGACTTTCCTTGTAGAGCCGCACCAAATGCAGAGGATGCATTCCAAACGAGATAAGTAACAGATGTCGCTGCAGGGATTCGATAATTCATAAATTCCTTACGTTACCCGTAAATGATTTTTACTTTCAGGTGTATTTATAATGTAACATTTTTATAAAAATTTGTATAAAATAAATTATATTTGTTTATATTTAAAGGGATATTTTTTTTGTACTATTTTCTACGCGTAACATATATATAAATGAAAGTCAGGTAAAGTTTAATAAATATGATTCTACTGCGCATGGTATCTATGCTTCCTATTGGTTAATTTATTTACCTATGTACCAATGGTTACGAACCATATAAATTTTTTATATATTTTCTAAAATAAAACGTAAAAATATAAAAATGACAATTGCAATTGGATTTGAAGGTAGTGCAAATAAATTAGGTATTGGAATTATTCAAGATGAGAATATTTTATCAAATGTACGGCATACGTATATTACTCCACCAGGCGAAGGTAAACTTAACCTTTCATAATTTCTTTATGTGTGTAGCTTGATACAAAGATATTTGATATTTTTAATTTATTATTATTTAAAATGTTATACCATAAAATATTTTAAAGATTGTTTTGCAAAGGATTCCTACCTCGTGAAACTGCACAACATCACAGGGAATATATCCTCAATATTCTACAAAAAGCATTGGATGAAGCAAAAATAACGTTAAAGGATGTGGATGTGATATGTTATACAAAAGGACCAGGAATGGGAGCACCATTAACAGTTGCTGCATTGGTAGCAAGAACAGTTGCTCAATTATATAATAAACCAATGATTGCAGTAAATCATTGTATTGGTCATATAGAAATGGGACGATTGATAACAAATTGTATAAATCCAACTGTTTTATATGTTTCTGGTGGAAATACTCAGATTATTGCATATTCTCATCAAAAATATCGTATTTTTGGTGAAACAATTGATATTGCTGTTGGAAACTGTTTAGATCGCTTTGCAAGGTTATTAAAACTTTCAAATGATCCTAGTCCTGGTTATAATATAGAACAATTAGCAAAGAAGTGAGTTGTTTTGTTAGAATAAGAATACTATTTTATATGTATTAATTACATTGTTTATATAATACATTATGTATATAGAGGAAAAAAATTAGCTTCATTACCTTATGTAGTAAAAGGGATGGATGTGTCTTTCTCAGGAATTTTAAGTTACATAGAGGAACACCTTTCTTCTTGGCTTGATTCAAATGAATTTACTCCAGAGGATTTATGTTTCTCTTTACAAGAAACAATATTTGCTATGCTTATTGAAATTACTGGTATTATTATCTCTTATGTTATAAGTAGAAAGCAACAGATATTATGTAAAATAGAATAAATATTGTATATTTCACAATATTATAGAACGAGCAATGGCCCATGTAAAATCATCAGAAGTATTAATTGTTGGAGGTGTAGGATGTAACGAAAGATTACAAGATATGATGAGAATTATGTGTAAGGAAAGAAATGCAGTACTTTATGCCACCGATGAACGGTTTTGTATAGACAATGGTGTGATGATTGCTGTAGCTGGATTACTCCAATTCAAGAGTCAAGGACATACTCCATGGACAGAAACAACTTGTGTACAAAGATATAGAACAGATGATGTACATGTTTCTTGGAGAAAATAAACTAATTTTGTGTATTTATTTTTTGTTACTATGCTGAAAAATTATTTAAAATGGTCTCTATTATTGTTAATATAAAGTAGTAATAGAAAAAATGTATACATATTTTAATTTTGTACAAGAAATATTATGATATATACTTAATATGTTATTCTTCATCTTTAGAAGAAATAAAACTCCATTTTATATTTCATTAATATTTTCCATTTTTATTTATCATTTATGACTTGTATGCCATTGATATTTATTCATTAAATTATGATTGTAATTTATTCACTAAATTCAATTTTAAGTTTTAAATGAAAAATTAATGTTTAAGGAAAAATTTTTGTTACAAGATTATAGAGAATTTTGTTATTAAAATATGCATTTGCAGTATTTTAGACCATAAATTTGATTTCTGTGCAGTTAAAGTTTTTATATCTTTATATTATTTCTATCGAATACCTACATTTAATAAATTAGAAAACTTTGTTAACAGAATTTGTAATTTATTGATTTAAATGTACCGCGTAAATTTTTTTAGCTTGATATATCTTCTGCGCGCGCATACACATGTGTGCGCATGCACAAACATTATACAGGTTCAAAATTGATATCGAGCTATCGGTTGTGAAAAGAGAAAAGCAAGCGTCATAGGTGGAGGTCACATTTTCATGACACGCGCGATAGCAGGGTAGCGTACGATATTCGTCCACGCAGGCGCACGTCTGGCTGTAGTCCAAACAATATCTCTGTCGGTAGTAGTAACAGATAATATTAGTAGAATTCGTATCATCATTACCGGATACACGATCAACGCTGTTAGTAGTCACAAATTAACTGTTTTGTCTTACTTCATCTTCAATTTTAAGAAATTGTTTTGCAATTATGTTCTAATATTCTATTGCTTAATAGTAAAATTGTATATTATATATTTGATTTTTAATTTAAAACATTTTTTCTAAGCTCAAAACAATAGTAATGTGAAATTTCTTTCCTTTCACATTATACTTGAGAGCGGCTATGTCACATTGACCATTTCCTAATCGATAAACGCGCGAACATCGATTGCAGCGCTTAGTGTGGAACAAGTGGCAGTACGATACCGTCGTCACTGCTCGTCACTGATCGTCACTACTCGTCACGGTGCATTATTCGTCGTGCTACTCACGACAAGATGTGCTACTACATCACGGTGCGCAATGTGCCTTTTCGGACGAATGGTGCCCGTGTTTAAAACAGAGGTGAGTCGCAAAAATTAGTTTGCTTCTGGTTCGTTTCTACTACCACTGTACGTCTATTTCCGTATAGGAGCTACTTCATTATAGAATCGTACCGGTACACGTCAAATACTGTCCCCGAATAACACGCTTATAGACCCAGATAACTTGAATCTCTCAGCTGCTCGTCCTTGAATCTGACAAAAATCAAATCTAACTTTCGCTTTAATCCTTTATTGTTACTCTATTGATTCGAGTTGAAAGATTGTATGGCGAATGCACATTTATATATTTATCATTAAGACGATTTAACAGTAATTTTGTTCCAGATTTCTATACTATTAAATTCAGTTAAAGAATTATTACATAGGAACTGATAATATAGTAATTTAGCGATTTTATAATTATTTAAATAATTCAAAATGTCAAGTATTTTGCAGTTAATATAGAAGTGGATTATTGCCATAAAAGAGACAAAGGAAATAAAATACAGAAATCTATAGAGAATGATTCGTGGCAAAAAACTAACCTCTAGAAGACAAGACAGGAGTATAGTATAAGAAGTAATTATTTTTTATAACCAAGTAATAATTTCAATCTTTATGTTAAACGGATATAACAACTGCGTCAATTCGATGACAACACAGTAACAAGTATTATTTTTTTTTGACCTAAATAATGGAATAAGAAAAATGTGTCACATTTTCGGTAAGTTTGCAATGTGTCGAGAGATGCAGGTTGTAAATAGTCGTTCTTTACTACTGTCTGGTAACGCTCACCATCCATCTTTACTACTGTTACCCACGATAATGTGAACATAGTTGCAAACGATTCGTCGCAATATTTTTAATCAATTTACATATTCGACTATGCTCTTCTATCTTTTTTTTCTTTTTTAATTACTTATCATTGCATATCGTATGATTTATTTTTAGCTTTTTTTCGCATGTTGCGACTTTGCATCTCAACCAACGTTATTAAAAGCAAAGAATTTGAAACTGGCATATCTTACGACACTTCATGAATATTTTTGCTAGCCATACAACATCATATTGACGCGTAGCCAAGATCCAGGCCGTGCATCCAAACAATACGCACACAACACGCATTTAAATAATACAGCCCCGAATTATGTATGCGTTGCTGGCTGCGGTTAATATCTTATATAAAGATTTTTCGCACGGACTATATAGGCTCGAATAATAGCGAGAAATAATAATATAATCGATAACGAGAACATTGAGCATAATGAGTACGAAGTCATCCAGGGATGTAAGAGGGAGACCTGGTCTGGAATTATGCCACGTATAAATGCCGTGTCGTGACATTTAAAAGTTGATCTTTGTAGTATTACATGGATAAGAAATCAATGTACGTTTCTATACCAAAAATTCAATTTTCTGCTAATTTTTTTTTTGTTTTCAACGTTTCAGACCGATGTGAAATAGCTTTGTTAAGATAATAAACATTTCCGGAAGATGAACACCCTCACTTGACACGCTTCAGATAGTGAAGAGTTATCAGGACTATTGGTATTCTTATGATGTAATCGCATCAAAGCAGACTTTTACGTACATTTTAAACGTAATTTGCATTTACCCTAGAAGATTTAAAGGTATTCAAATGGTCATTCAAAGATCAGAGTATTTCGTTTCGCGCAGTTGTTTCCGCCCACATGGATCGATCTGCGCAAAGTAGATATCGGGAGTGTACTCCAAAAGTGCTTTTAGAGTACGGATATCAAACAATTGCAACGAAATTGTAACAGCATGTTGTATACTCATGCGTGGCTACCGTTTTCAAAGATTGTGTATGCGCACTTAAACGTATTTATGATGAAGTTGGATCACCGTGAGAGAAAAAGATCAATTTGTTCTCTCTCTTTCTCTTCTGCACTCTTTCATTCTATTCTTCCTTCCCTTTCTTCTACTTGTTCTACTGTTCATAGAAGTGGGTTCGTTTATTCGTCGATAGAGCGTTATCCAGATGTGTTTACTTTGCGTACGTTTACTTCACTATTGGTATGTACCAATAGGTTTAAGGTGTATCGAAGAGAAAAGTTGAGTGGATAGAATACTCTTTTTATGTTACGGTCAATGTTGTTAATGTCACACATGTTACTGAGATAATTTGCTACGTTAAATCTGTTAAATAAAACAATAGAATTGTACGGTGCGTATCGCAGTGTTGAGGAGGTTTATTTATTTAAAGATAACACACATAGTGGGATATGTTAGTTCGTTTAGGGATGTTGTCATTGGTATACGATGTTTGATATTATTTCTATGGTAATACTAATAATCTGTAAAAAGGTTTACATTATTTTCATATTAAATATTATGTTAGAAAATAAATATTATACTATTTTTATTTTGCACTGAGTTTAAGCAGGCCCTTTTACTAAGAAAAATGGTGGAAAGAAAATAATTAATTTAGACAATATGTAGATATATAACAATGGATTTAGGATTATGAAGTACTAAAGGATGTTAGAAAATATCCAATATTTCACAGAGATTTATTACGAGAGGATGAACAAGATTTATAACCTTCTTACAAATAAACTGTGGCTTAGTGAAAATAATATTTGAAGTATAGTTCTAACTATGAGAAATAAAGGAAGTAGTTGGTTTTAAATTGTATATAATTTTGTATAGAATTATTATATTTCTATTGGTGTAATGATAAGGCAAATATTTCTATTTGAATCAATAGTATTTTAATCCCTTTTTTATACAAAGAATTTATTTTTAGCTTAAATAATATTAGTTTCCTTATTTTTTTATAAAATAATAGAATATATATTACATTTATATAGAGTATTATTTTTAGTAATTTAAATCAAGGTTAAATTCAACGTGATCGTATTATTTCGTGACTGAAACAACTTCATCGGATCTACAATGACTTTTCTTATCATAAGCTTAATATGATTTTCTTTTATTTAATACTATTTTTTAGTTTTAGGTATTCTTATATATTTCTTATATTTCTATACTAACATATAATAATATATATAATATAAAATTTGTGATTTTTCGATGTTTCGTTTTTTAAATTTTACTTTAAAGTTTAATTCTATATCTTATTTTAATTTAATTTTATTTTACTTTTAAGTACTTTTTAATTGAAGAGAGATGCTAAACAGGCCAATTTTCACTTCCTCTATCATATCACATATGCACTGTTACTCGTAATTTTATAGTATACGTTATTAAAACTGTAGTAAAATGCTTTGCAGACATTGTTGATATAATTTGTCGCTTTTATGGTCGCATAAAATACGTAAACCCAGTTTTCTACAATATACATAGAATTTGAGATGTTTGCTATCCAGATAATTTTCCTTTTCAATTCTGCCCTGAGTAAATGGCATTGCAGTCAAATGAATACTGAACCTGAAAGATGATTAAAAAAGCTTTTAATGAAAAGATACGAATAAAAAATGTGAATAATGTAGTTAAATATATTATTATATAATATACTATTTAATTGCACATATTTTAATGAGTTCTGGAACTTTACTTAGTCTGACCTCATCTCTTAGTGAGAAATTATTTTTGGATCTCTCTCTGTTCTCTTTACTCTTTCTTATGTATCACTACAAATTAGCACTATCAACTGTGGCCATGTTTTAACTGCTTGTTACTTTGTAAACAGTAAAAATAGTTCTTTATAGTTGCTCCTTCCGATTGCAATAGATATAGTTACAAGATAGGGTTATATAAATCGTTTGTGTAACTGATAAAGTAATCGTACTCTTTTTGTATAATTCATGTTTTGATTTTCGATTTTTAGAAGTATGCGTATAATATTTGCAAATGAAAATATTTTGTAACTTACACGTTTTCTACAATTAAATAAGCATTAATTAATAGTTGTCGTATATGTTAGATTTCGTTAGACTTTGTTAAAAACCGTGTTAATTTGTTATTATAAAAGTAAAAGTCAATTAAAGATTAATTACCGTCAGTTGATATAAACGAAGTGAGATATTTACATAAATATATAATCACGAATTGTAATCTTTGGATTCCGAGATGAAAATATTTTGAGTAACACAAGAAGCTGAATAAACTCCAGCGAGTGAAATCGGTACCGAATGTATCGTGTTTGCAGTCGTTCCTCCCGGTTTCGTATAAAACGACAAACGAATTCTCTTGTGAGCTGCACACACTGTATAAACCAATATTGGTGTTATTTGAATGAATTGTAATTAAATAAATTCGAATTGAATATACATAAGTAATAGAATAAAATTTTATTTGTTATTCAATTTCAATTTTTTATTCGTTCATTCGTTATTCGAATTTAGCTCTTCATTTCATAAGCATTCGGTAAGAAATAAACAGTGATCGTATTTTATGTAATATATATCTATTTCGACAAATATATTTTATAATAAGGAGGATTTACAACCAAGTTTTATAAAAAAATCCTCACAGAAGCGTAACGTGATTTATTTTGAGATTAATTATTCTTTCCACGATAGGTTATGAAATATGTATTAGATCAGAACACACGATGGAATGTCTAGCCCAGGAGTATTTACCCAAGTATAGAAAAAGCGTTCATAAAATTCACCATCGATACTCGATTCAGTTCTCGTTGACACTTTTTCTATTCTATCCTTTTCTAATATTTCTATCTAGTTGTTTGAAAAACTAACGACATATGAATTAAGTATAAATAAAATTCATAAAAAAATGCGTTCACCTTTTATTCGAAAATTTTATATAACCAATAAGTTTGATTATTATTTGATATTTACGAATAATCAAATGAATCGAATTTTTACGTTGTGCAAAACTATTTTTGCCCAACATTGTTCTACAGACATTGTTCTATCTATATACGTAGTATTGCCTTTTTCAAAGTGCTTGCGTGAAAATTCAAAGCGTTTGTGCCTTCTTATCGTGCATGCTTAATGACTGTTTATTGTAGCGCCCTCTAGCATTTCGTCAAAATAATCGCTCCCGTTACATACTGATCTAGACTTTGCACGAACCCACGTGCACGATTGAATCAGGACTATCGAGACAGGTGCTTTTCGCAAAGAATCTGGGTCAGAGTGTATTAACCTCGTATATAAATAGTACCAGCAGTATATAATGTTTGCGGCAAACATTTTTCAGGTTTCTTTTCGAAACCCGCCTTTTCTCGCTGTTCTTTGGCTTTCTTTCCTCTCTTTCTTTGTGATTGGACAGGTTCTATAGTTCGCCGGGAGCGCTCACGGCAATAAAGAAAGGTTCTCTGCTACACGTACGAAAATAGTAACGCAGGCGATGATATCAGATTTGAAATTTGGCCTCATTATGAGCGAGGTGCACTTCTTTCTGTCGTCCGGATCTATCGTTTATACACGTACAGCACCGTGGCTTCCTGCGTGGCAATGAAAATTTTTCTGAACGAATTTGAAGATGCTACAAACACTTTTGAAATAACGTGGATCTTATTTTCGTGTCAGCTAAACGGCAAACAGCCCGAGTATCATAGACATTAAGAAGGGATGGGAACTGTGATTCGTGGAATGTTGGAAATAGCTTCTATTATTCGGTTACATTTCGTAATATCTATACTTAATGCTTAAGTATTACAATGCGTGCATCGTGTCAAATTGTACAAAATATAACACATAATATAAGTAGAACATTTATTTCTCTACCATTTGATGATATTAATATCTTCTAAAATTATTTTCTCTTTTCTTTTTTTAGCGTGACCTACCCGTTGGCAATTTTTTATCAAGTGAAGAGTAATAAAAGCAATCTAAGACGAATTGTATTTTTATCGTTATGATTCATTCTATGTCATGAAATGTCGTAATCGAAACGTACTAATAATAAAATAGGTGCTATTGTCTTTTCAATCTGTTTCATCTTGCACGTATTCTTTAACAAAGTGAACAAAATGTATGCATTCTGTTTTGATTAATTTCTTACTGTCGTATTCTTATTTCAAGTGTCATGTATGTGAATTACTGCAGAATTAATTGTTTTTATTTGACAGGAATTTAATTTTACTGTAATATATGTATACAAAGTATAAATGTACAACATCGAGAATCGTTATTGTTTTACAACTTGAATGTTTATAAAGTAAGGAAAATTCAGTTACACTTATGTTTATTGCATTCTATAATTCTATTTGATCATAAACGTGTAAACTAACAATTTATTTTCTGTCCAATTGGATATAGGTTCTAAAGCACAAGGACAAGTAAAGCTCCATACTATATATTCGTAATCTGCGAGAGAATTTTATTACCAAACGAATAGTTATTAATAGTTTTGAAAAATATAAAATAAATACGAATTGTTATTTTTAGTATAAGAAATGGAGAAATTCGTTTAGAATATCAAGATTTTTAAGTGAACTCCATATGTTCAAATTATGGAATATAAATAGATACGTGAGCCGGTATGATCATACTAATTTCAAAGTAAAGTTGCATATTCTATTTGAAATGTGTGTACTGGGTGCAGAAGTATAGCATGACTTTATTACAACAATCTATTTTTTATTACCAAGCAAAAATGTTATATTTTTTATCTGACAATGATTAATTGAATATATTTTTGTGAAACGCCAATACACAGTGTTACATGGAATTAAATATTTAGGTAGGTGACACTGGAGATGCTTGTTATATTTTGTAAACTGTAACCTGTTTTATGATTCAATCATAAACATTGTATACTGAGAAGGAGTTTAATTATTATAGTATTTTGTTTAATTCTATGAAAAATTCTATAAAAAAATTCTATAAAAAATTGTAGAATTTTTATAATGTAGAAAATTCATAACAAGTTAAATTGGTCATTGTAGCATCAGAAATTTTTTTTCTTTAATTATTAAATATTCCAAAATTTGGTTCAGTGTTAGATGAAGTAATTATTTGTTACTTTAAAGAAAAAATTCGTGGTCCAATGTTGGTACAAATACCTGCTTTCCTATATTCATTAAAACAAGGTAACAAGCAGCTCCAAATTGAATACGAGTTTACGAGTTTGTAGAAATTGGGATTTTATACTTTGGAACTGTAGATAATAGAAAATAACAATTTATAAATTTCCCATCTATCATAGTAGATTTGGAATTCCTTACTTTCTTCACTCTGTTGCACATTTATGCTATTCTTTGGGGTAATAAGATAATTCTACACACTATATAACAGACTAACAATACTAATGAAATTAATATTTCCTTGCAGATTATGACGTGGCGCGGTTTAACCGAGCCCACGGAAGAGGACAGACGTAGGTACGGATGAAGCACAAGAAGGGTAACCTGGACGAGGAGGAGGAGGAAGAAGACGAAGAAGGAGGAGAGGAAGAAGAAGACGAGGTGGACGACGAACGGAAAGAGTACAAGGGAAACGAAAGAGGAGGTTCGCGTGGAAAAGCAGAGAAAGCTGTACGCTTAGCCGACGAATCAGCGTGATCGTCGGCTAGTACATTTGATGCTAAGTGAAAAGAGGTTCGAAGACGACTCAACACTGGCGGACGGGGAACGTAATGGGAGCGCCGTGGTCACGGGCCCGGTGCTATCATCGTCGTCGTCGTGCACGGTGCCCTACATCGGCACCGACCAGGGTTTCGTGTTCGAGGGTGGCGGCACGACGACGTTGCAGCGGGCTGGTGCAGCCGGTGCATCGGTCACTAGCTGCACCGGTAGCGGAGGAGGAACCCTTGGAGTGGGTATCGTACCAGGAAGTGGAGTAAACATAGTAGGCTCAGGGGTTAATATGGGCGGAGGAGTGACGGGAGGAGGGGTTGCCGTTGTCGGAGGAGGAAAGAGTGGTGTACGGTACCCTCCATTCTCATCGTCCATAGGACCGACCAGTTCCGTGGCGCCGGTGAACCTGCCGCCGCCATCTCTACCGCCACCTCCGCCACCGCCGCTGCCGCCGCCGCCGCCACCGCCGCCGCCCCTGCCGCTGCAGATGCAGCAGCAGCGTGCCTACTCGAGGTCGATGACGTCCCTACCGCCTGAGCCGTTTATGATCATGAGGTCGAAGGCCCTTAACCGACGGGTCTCGATCAACGTCGGTGGCGTTAAGCACGAGGTATTATGGCGTACCCTTGAAAGGCTACCTCATACGCGTCTAGGCCGATTGAAGGACTGCAACACGCACGAGGCGATCACCGAACTTTGCGATGATTATTCCCTTATCGACAATGAGTACTTCTTCGATCGGCATCCAAAGTCTTTTAGTTCTATATTGAATTTCTATCGCACCGGCAAGCTACATCTAGTCGACGAGATGTGCGTACTGGCGTTCAGTGATGATCTCGAGTATTGGGGTGTCGATGAGCTTTACCTCGAAAGTTGTTGCCAACATAAGTATCATCAAAGGAAGGAGCACGTGCACGAGGAGATGCGGAAGGAAGCGGAGTCGCTCAGGCAGAGGGAAGAGGAAGAGTTCGGTGAAGGGAAGTGTGCCCAGTATCAGAAGTGGCTATGGGATTTATTGGAGAAACCGACTACGTCCATTGCTGCAAGGGTGAGTGCTATTGTCAATGGTCTGATGTCTCCTCACATGAATCTTATTATTAAATTACAAGTCGTATCGGATGATCGTGCGTGTATCTGCTTAAGGAAGTTGTCGGAATTAATCGACGGAGAAAAATTGGGAAGGTATTCCAAGATCTCGAAGAGAAATTTGAACTCGAGCCAAAATCTTGTTGCAATATGTCATTTGGCATTGATGACTTCAAGAATCCTCGTTGTTGATCGTGACTTCGAATTCTGTTCCTGGTATGCTCCGCGAAATTCGAATATGTCTCTCATTCTTTTTACGTTTCTTTTCGAATTTCCAAAAGAAAATCAGCCCGTGTAAATCAATTTTTCTCCGCGTATTAGATCGTTTATTTCCTTTTTTTAAGTTGATCGATTTTAAACGATTTTTCGATTTCGTTTTTGCTTAACGAAGTAACACCGTGCTTTCTCTGGTTATAACAAAGAAAAATGTCCAAAAATTAATCGATATCGGACAATGTATTAATACTACGTTATTACGCGAGAATACCCTTAACTTTTCTTTACTAATTTACTCACGCTGTCTCAACGTTTACAGTTTGTGCTGGAACCATAATTTGAAGAAAGGTATTATTAAGTTGATAGTAGAGCATCGATTCGACGTAGCTCTCATATAGACGACAGAGTAGTGAGAACGTTTGCGACGTATGTTGATTTTGTACCTAATCTCGCTGTAGAACATATAACTAAAATAGCAAAAGTCAACCGATCGGATTTGGATTCTGGCTCCCGCTTTTAATGACTGTCGATGATTGTTCCGTTTCACTTTCTTAGCCCTCTCGATGATACGAGAAACAGTATGAATGAGAACAACGAACGGACACGTGTAAATTATTACCCCCTCTAAATTTAAACATCAGCTAACCAGAGATAGATATTTACTTGCATGTTTTAATTCTTAACAAGTTTATATCGTTTCGATCTGCTATACTTGTACATACTTTACAGATTATCGATAAATTTTCATTAATATTTGCAATCAGTTAATCGGTCTCCATCGACTAACGAATATTCGATTGCAGATCGATTTTGCTTTCCTCTGTCAAAGCCAGATCGAAATCACGCGCGTTGATCGAGCACTGATCATTACTCATTAATTACCAGGTATCAAATTAGATGAACCTTCCCATATCGACAAAGTCCCATCGATTGTATGTATATATGTGTGCGTATATACACACTTGTACATAGAATTGTATATACACATATATGTATATGTACATGCAGCGTAGACGTACGTACGTACGTAAAGTATATAAAAGTGTATAAAAATATAGAAAGAGAAAACCGAGTTGATATTAATATAGAGAAGATTAATTGATATTTTACAAGTCTCGTGTCGATGTATGTAATGTGTATTCTATTTCTAGGTGGTGTTAACAACATCATTGCTAATCCCATTGTTACATAATCCAGCTTTTTAGCTCTAAGTTTTAAGCAAAATATTGTCGTGTGTTTAAACAATCATCATGTTTGACCATCGATGATAATGGGAGTGCATAGTACGCGATTACCAGGTATCACGTAGATTCTTTCTCGACACCGCTCCCTGTGAGATGTCATAGTTACTTCGCTACCAGCGAATTCAATTCGATATGTACATACTAAAAAAAAAATATATATATATATAATATATATATCTGATATATATAATATATACATATAACTATCACTAAAAAGAAAGTGCAATTGTCACTAATTGTTGCATAATGATCTAACTTAAATGGAATGTATCAGCATTAACGGGACGAGTCTCACGTAGCTCGAAAAGAAATATATTTGTCGTATGTTAGACAAATGACACGTATTTTAATGTTCGTATAAACAAGAGCACGTGGATGGATAGTGTAGAATTAGTACGAGAGTGCCTTATGTGCTATTAGGTATACCGAATTGAACCCTAGGTAGTCTAGGTAGACGATATTTCTTTTCGTGCAGACGTTAGACTCGTGAGTGATGAAACTAACTACGATCGTGCAAGAGAATCTGTGAGGTACTTTAGGCTATTTTATTTTTTTTTCTTACAAATAATGTCTCATATTAATACTTGCCATACACACCACAAACAATACACATTGCACACACTGTTGCTCCAAGATGAAACAGTATTATGCGGGGTACTAGTATAGCACCTATGATCCCTCACTGACTCCGTCACCGAGATTTTTCTGTCACACAAACTCAAAACCCATTTCCTATTCAAAAGAAAACCTATTATTGTCTGTCTCTTCCTTATTCATGTGTATGTGGACGTTCGATGTGACTCGATGATAATTTTCATTGACTACTATCCGACTTATCGGTCACGTCACGTTAAGCCGATCTTCATCGAAGAGCCCTCGCGGAGGAGTCTCCCTGGAGAACTCCTTAGTAGCACGTCCAAACATTTCTCCTCGATGCGTCAATATTACAGAAACTATTGATTTTCCACTATATTTAAACCACGTAAGGGGCCGTCGGTCAATAACTGTAGCTACTTCTGAAAGTGTATGGTTATAGTCATCGGCAATGTAGATATTGGGTCTTCTCACAGCTCTTAGTTTCTTGCCCGTGTCGAGTCGTTTACGTTTGAATAATACAGTGCAATCTCCCTGCTCGAAGTGTTCACGTACACGCAATTTCATGGGAATAAAGAGGTCTCGGGTGAATGAAATTTATTTGGCAATGGGGTGAGATACATTAGAAATGGGATCGTGCTGATGGTCAAAGGCTGATTCTTCTTTGGTTATATGCTACCAGTTTAATAAGTAATACGTGTGTCTGTATGGAGATTTCATTGTATTTAGGTCTATGCGAATTTTGAAGATCTCAAAATGTCTAAAAGATCTCCAAGTAACTTGGATAAAGATGGTATTAAGGAAATAAGTATTACTTTTTTCAATTTACTAAAGTTTAAATATAACAGCTTATTATTTAATTTTTTATATAATTACTTGAGTTTTTCTTAGTTGCAAACATAATCTGTTCAGGAAGTACATTTTGATTATTATTATATAATTGCAAGTGAAATGATCAAACTATTGATGAAACCTTCAATGTCTATACTTGGAAGTGTGAAAGTCTCTCATGATATTTATCTTGATTTTTGTATATTTGTTTAGTACTATATCTATGTTTCTGGAGCAAAATAGTGATATAGGAATAAGTCAAAATGATTTAATATTTCATAAGGATGTATTATATTTAGAAACTGCATTTTGATAATTATTATGAAATGACCAAATATGAGGACTGATGATAACAGTGTTTCACCGTTCTACATTTATTGTTATAGAAAAGTATAGCATCTAAAAGCAATGCAAATGCAATTAAAAAAAATTATGTTCTAAAATGGTTCACTCTCTTTGTTAAGTGCTAAAAAGAAGTATTTCTCAATAAGGAATGAAATTATAACATAATTGCCCATGAAAGTAAAGAGGTAGAGCCTTTAAGGCTGGAAAAATGTTGTTAATTAAAATTATAAAAGTTTAAATTTACACTATTATAATTCTCAGATTCCTACTTATTAATGGAAGTATAACAATTAAGTTCAATACACCTTAACTATTATAAGACTGAGATATTTATATTTTTGCCACACAAGTTATTTATTTTAAATAGAAAAAAGTCTGATAAATTTTTTATTTTGCCAGAGAAATTTATATTCCTAGTTTTCCTGATTTGTGAGTATTTTTTAAATTATGGAAACCAATTTGTTATGTCATAATGAACACCTATTATTATTTTTATTCCTATTATCATATACAAATTTTTATGTATATTAAACACTATTTAATTAATTATTATTGAAATATTTATTTTGATATTTCTATTTTCAAATTTGTATTTCTCATACCAATAACAGGTGGTTATTAATTTTGTAAGCATCTTCTATCCTTTTATGACAAAATTTAAATTCGCAGATTTAAATTAATTATTAATAATTAAAATAATTAAAGACAGAATTGATTTTCACTTATAATTCACTCTGATACACAGTTTACAATTTTGTAATACAACAATCAATAAAAATATAAATTATGTTACATTTGTTTACATTGATGTATAATAAACACTATTCATTTGATTTGTAAATTCTAAAAAGTTTTACATATTTATAAAATTGGCCATTTTAATTCCTCATAACATTACTTCAACTTTCACAAGATATAATATATATAAAGTAACGCATAAGACAATAAATATTTAGAATAGAAATATATTTATAAAATAATAATTAGATACATACAAAAATTGTTTGTATATTACTAGATTAAACATAGTATGGTCATTTATTAATTATTGAATATCCGGTATAAGTACATCTATTTAAAGTAAAGTAAAATAAAAATCTTTATGATAACATGCATCGACAAGTAGTTTTTGAAAAAATCTCAGAAAAATTTGATTATCAATGTATATCATTAATACAATTCGGTGAAAAAATACGAAAAGATTCGCATAGATCTGGTATCACGACATTAAAAAGGCACGTACTAGTTAACGCGTAAAGTCGAAGGTCATTTTCTGCATGCAAGGGAGATAACATCAAGCAGCGTTCAAGTATAACCACTCGATAATTATTTCATTAGTGTTGTGCTTTCTGATGAAATAAGAATCTGTCCAATATTACCATATTTATCAAAGAAATTAACGTCAACTAATATTTCCTCAATAACGATATTTATATTTTTAAACAGCTTCACTTATCAGGTTTGAATGTTGATACCTTAATACATATAACATGAGAGAAAACTTAAGAACAATCTCCAATTTCTTCTTAAAGAAACGTAAGTTTATCTTTTCTAAAATAATTGTGCAGTGGCAATTATTTATTTTTTTCGAGAAAAAAAAATCTTGAACAATGATTTGCTGCCGAATCGCTGCAGATTATCGCTTTACTATACTTGCTGCTTAAAGGTATCTGGCGAACCGTAACTCGAAGAAGAAAGTCGAGTATCGATAGTTTCTACATTTGTATTCGCTTTGCTTCTAGAAAATGACGCGCGCTTTAAGATGTTAACCAGTATGGGTTTATCCACACTGAGAAATAAAATAATTCCTCGCGCAATATGTGCACGATAATAATTCGTATTAACAAAGAAAAATATACGAATTTTGTCAATTAGATTATTTAAAATTCGATATTTTCAAAATATCAGACAATATTTACAAAATATTCGAGAATTTTTATACATTAAAAGTATTTAATTATACAAATTAAATTTACAGTCTTTATATAATAAGAATATACGAATTAAATATCATAGAAATTAAATTTACAAACTTTGAATTCTCAGAAACTTCTTAATTCGCTTGACTGATCTTCATATAACGAATTATTTTCATAGCATGATTGCGGAAATAAGCGAAAGCTGTGAGCAATCTAGCATTATCGATTTACAACGAATTTTAGACTAACATAGAGATTGCACTTAACGCGCATCAGTTCTCTTGAATTTGAACGAGATTATATTAGTTAGCTTTCCCTTTTTTCCTCTTCTACGGATCTTTTCTTTTCCTATATTTAACGAGATATATTACGAAAACGAAAAAAAAGAAAATTTGCATAACCTAGCTTTTCGCAACGAGTCTCAATATCTCGCATCACGAGTGTTCCGCACAAGCTTGCCCCTGACGCAAGCTTAGTCGATTGTTTTCGTTTTTCACCCATTAACCAAACTTCTAACCTTCTCGACATTGATTTCTTAAAACCTAATATCAATTCCTTGATATATTCGCGAGTCGCATCGCAGTTTGTTGCATGAGAAGCTGCGGATGCAACAACCCTTCTTATCTTCCTTTTCTTATTCACCTTTTGCTTTCAAATTTTGCACCCAAGCCTTACACACTCGGAGTCGAACAATACTGAACGATGTGACGTTTAAAGATACATCGCGGGATATAACATAACCTAATGCGAATTATCTCATCGGTAATAGAAGATCACTGTACTGTCCCTTGAGGGCAGCTTCGCGTTTCCGAGTGTAGAGGGCTCGTGTATTCTGTAGTATAAATATGCGAAGCGAGCGCCTATTTCTTTCAGTTGAACAGACCGATAATTTTTGCTAAATTTCTCCGTGGCAACGAATTGATTTCGCTTTGTAGCGATTGCACTAGCGTGGCAGGGTATAGGATACGAATTATTTTCGGTATTTTTGGGCGACTTGAGGCTTGGTTAAGGGTGGATCAAAGGGAGCGGGGTTTTGAAGGGAGTAATGAACATGTGTTAAATACGCATGCCGAGCAATGTACAAAACTTGTATAAGTCGAGCGACGTCGGGCAGACTGCCTTCAAACGACGAGATACTCCTTGGTGCATATGTATGGGTATCTATACGTTTCTATAGCAGTTTTCAGCGACTCTGTTCACTGCGTTCACTCGAGTTTTCAGTTTCGCAGAAAATGCTTTAGAACGTTATAGCAGTCCGCATTACGTCCTTCCTTTTTCCTTTATTTCAACAACGTTTCGAAGTCGTTTGGAGGTTTCACGACAAACGTTTCGAACGTTTCATTTTTTATCCTTAAGGTCGCATAGTCGTCAACATATGGGGGCCCTTTTTGCACTACTATCTCTTTAAACGCCTAATTCATGTGTAACATCGTTGGTGGATGGTTAAATTGTCGAAATGCTGACGAATATATTCGTGCCTAATTTGTAGGGTATTTAATACATATATATTTATACATATATACATATATATATATATATAAATAGTTTTGAGATATAAGCTTCTTTACGTATGCAAATTATTGCTTGCTTCGTTATTGTACATTTTTTCGTACATGTAAACAACTGCTTTACCTTCTAATTTGTCAGTGATCGAATATGTTGTAATTGTATTTGGTGTATCATTTTTATACATATTTTTGAACGCTTCCGTGCAGTGAGAGCTTTTGGTATTTACTCTGTTTTGGTAGTCGTTGTTGCTTAAAAAGAAAGTGCAGACTGAGTACGATTTTAAAAAAAGAGAGAGAAAACGATTTCTCCTCGTATCTTACCGATATTACCGAATTTTCGAAGTGTTTTCCTATACTCGACGATAGGTCCTCGTAACACTGATGCATATCCTGGGCTGGCAGTTGGAGTTCTATAAACGGTATCCTTTATCTCTTCTGTTCGTTTCTAAAGGATGTTCTTCACGTTCATCTATCTCGATCGAATGATTTATCTTTTCGATCTTGAATTCTGATTCTTAATTATATCTAGAAAAAGAAAGAATACGTCAGACGTAATAAGAACGAAACGGTAGATTCATCGAGTATGACTAGACTAATCGAGTCTTAGAAAAGAGCAATCCCGTATTATAATTTAATCGCGCAGAGTAGGACATCGAATCCGAGCGATAACTTCGTTTGACCGGTCGATCCGTCACTTTTCCAGGTGATAGCTGTGATATCAATACTCTTTATTGTGCTTTCGACGATCGCACTAACTCTCAACACCATTCCTAGTATGCAAGTGAATGAGAAGGGGAACTTTCAAGACAATCCGCAGCTCGCTATGGTGGAGGCTGTTTGCATCACATGGTTTACCCTCGAGTACGTGCTTAGGTTCAGTGCCTCGCCGGACAAGTGGAAATTCTTCAAGGGTGGTCTTAATGTTATCGACCTATTGGCGATACTGCCTTACTTCGTATCTCTGTTCCTGGTCGAGACGAACAAGAACACGACCGACCAGTTCCAGGACGTGCGCAGGGTAGTGCAAATCTTTCGTATAATGCGGATCCTGAGGATCCTGAAGCTGGCCCGCCACTCGACCGGGCTGCAGAGCCTTGGCTTCACCTTGCGTAACTCGTACAAGGAGCTGGGCCTGCTGATGCTCTTCCTGGCGATGGGTGTCCTCATATTCTCGAGTCTCGCCTACTTCGCTGAGAAGGAGGAGCCCGGGACCAAATTCGTAAGCATTCCAGAAACCTTTTGGTGGGCGGGCATCACGATGACCACCGTCGGATACGGCGACATCTACCCCACGACCCCGCTCGGCAAGGTGATCGGCAGTGTGTGTTGTATATGTGGTGTCCTGGTAATCGCGTTGCCCATTCCCATTATCGTTAACAACTTCGCCGAGTTCTACAAGAACCAGATGAGACGGGAGAAAGCCCTAAAGAGGCGGGAGGCTCTCGAGAGGGCTAAGAGGGAGGGCAGCATCGTGTCCTTTCATCACATCAATCTGAGGGACGCCTTCGCCAAAAGCATGGATCTCATCGATGTCATCGTCGATACTGGTAAGCGACGGGCCACAAGGAGGATGTACACACACTTTTTCTATCTCGAGTGTATGCTTCTCTACTCGCGGGATCAACGTTTAACGTGTTACACTCGTGGGAAACTCGGCTACGACTCGAGCCTTGCTACTTGAGGTTTTCGTTGTGTTATCGTTCCCACGTATTATTCTTTGTACATGGTCACGAATATCTTTGTTACGTACACGTATAGATCACACGAGGTTCACCTCTTTACCTGGAATCTCTTGTACCATTTTCTGCTACCTCTTGTTAAGAAAAATGTCAGGGGTCGTGCTGCTGCTGTGTAGTATCTGGGGGTTAATGAAAAGTAAACCAATTAAGGCATTTCGATGTTGGATGGAATTAAAAATAGCGGTCTCACCTTTATTCCAGGTAACAAGGTGCAATCGTACTCCATAGTGGTACTGAACGGGACCTTATCACTCTATGCCCATTAACCGTGTATTTTCACCGTTTACACCGATCATAAATAAAGCTTACTATTCCAAATGGAGATTGCGAGTTTAGTCGTAACGAACGTTAACAATTTATCAACCCTGACGCAAGAATGATGAATTTATCAGTTCTGGCGCAGGAACAAGGTAATACAAGGCTACACTGATCTAGCGAAACACTGTCCCACTCTTTATCGACTTTCTCATTAACGTGCATCATAATCATAACTATTCATAAGAATCATGAGAACAAGTAGAAAAGTATCGTCATCCAACTCGACACGGTACACGGTCATCGTTATATAGCAAATCATCACATGATTCACATATCTCGCTGATACATTTCGTGCAATCTTGATTCGTACATGTTTCGAATGAGCCCACTAATCCTGCGTCAAGGTTGATGAATTGATGGCATAATGAAAAACATAATGGATACCGAGGCTATTTTCAGGTCACGATATGTCCGGCGTGGATGGTAACAGCAAGGAGGGGGAATCCGTGTACGGACGCAGCCCTGCCCAGACCAGGTCAGGCTGTTATCCTAGCTATGAGCATTACGGTCCCTCGTGGCGTCGTTGCGGTGCCTCGTATTCCTGCTTCCTCAGTCTACCTAACGATCAACCTACCACGCCGGACAGACCGAAATTTAACATCCAAACTAATGATTTCTCTATACTTGGAACTACCTCACGGCACACTAGCCCGAGATTAAAACAACACCGACTCTATGTCAAGGTCGATGCCAACAAAACTAATCGCACCTTCCTAGCTCACGACATGTCCGACGTGGATGGTAATGAGCTATTTTATCGATATATTTTCGCTTCCGCTACTTTCTCGATATACGTACGTATAGATAAGAAAGCAGCCTACCACGCCGGACTAAATCAGGACTCCGCTTCTTCATCATCTGAAGGTTAAACGATTATGTAATTAACACCCGACACACTTAACACGAACAGTTATTTATTTTCCTTTTTTTATTTTTCTTTTATGTTTATATACCTGCGCCACGATTGATGAACTTATCACGGTGCGAGGAAACGCACAGACTGGACACCGAGCCACCTCCCGAATCATTAGACGTCCGGCGTGGCTGGCAAGCAGGATACACCGAAGACATGTTATACGACAATTCGGTTGTTGATTTAAAAAGTATTTATTTTTATTTCTGCTTTTTTTCTTTTTAATTAAAGTGAATGACTGTATTGGGGTACTAACAAGGCATCGAGGTTAGGTACCACTCGTGCGTGAAACATTTTCGAAATTAATTCTGTCGAATTTTAAATTTCTGTTAATACTTTTACTTTCAACATTCGTTACACGAGATGCATCAGTCAGATATAACACACTGTACACTCGAAAGATCATTATTGATACTCTGTTCGGTACATATCTATCATTTCGTTTGCTCATCGCGAGGTTATGTATGATTTATGTACGGAATATTTACAAAATTTCATACACAGAATGCAATGTTTAGATCAATATTAAGACCGCCAATTAAAAAATTTCTGTCAAATTCGATAATCGCTAGAAATCACTTATTTTGACTTTTAATATTTGCTACACGTCTACATGGAATGCAAATTTGAAAGATCATTGATATTCTAATTGGTATGTATAAGTCCATTTGTTTTTTACAAAGTTCTATACCATTTATGTACAGGGTACCCTCAAAATTGTGCATATAAAATGTTCGTACTTCAAAATTGATTTTCCAACCTTGTCATTAATTACCGAGTATCAATATTATTTTTATTTTCCATACTCATTGCGAGTCTACACGAAATGCATCAGTCACGTAGAACACACTGTACATAAATCCGAACGATCGCTGATACGCTAATTGGTATTAATAATTTCGCTTGTTTATCCCGCTGCACTCCTCATCCACCTAACGACCAGCCTACCACGCCGGACCAGGCCGAAACACCATTCCCATCATCTGTATTTGTTGAACCAAAAGTGTCGTTCATCGAGAAAATCGCTGCATGTCTCTCCCTCTATCTTTTCCCTTTTTTCTCTTTCTCTCTTTATCTCTATTTCTCTCTCTCTCTCTCTCTCTCTCTCTCTCTCTCTCTCTGTCTATCTTTCTATTGGAGTACGTTGTTCAACACGAGTGCAAAAAGTTGGAGCGAATCCTCGCCTATTCTTGCGTCAAGGTTGATACACTAGCGGCATTGTAAAAGACAAAACGGACGCGGAACCTGTTTCCAGGTCACAATATGTCCGGCGTAGATGGTAACAGCACCGAGGGAGAGTCCGCGTGTGGACGCGGCCCTGCCCAGACCGGACCAGGCTGTTATCGTAACTATGAGCATTACAGTTTCTTGCGACACCGTCGCAGCGCCTCATCCTGCTTCCCAAATTTGCCTAACGATCTGCCGACCACACCGGACAGCCCGAACCGTCGTCTCTTGGACTTTGCTCAGAGCGTACCTGGAACACAAAACGACGATTACTTTCACGACGACGTACCGGCCCAGCACGCGACTCAAGGCAATACAACACCTAGCGTAAGTCTCGTCGTCAGATCTTTCAAATTGATTATGTATGATTTTCGATGTGTCTTTTATTTTGTGTGCGCGCACCTGAAGACTAGGCATGCACGGGCATCTGATGATATCTCCAATCGGATGGGGCTCGACTTTCGTCGGATTTAGCGAAAAGGTGTGATTGCTTGGCAAGGATTGTTTCTATACACGAATAAGTTATTTTCCATATTGGATTATTTCAGTAAGTTTTAAAGTTTCGGTAATTTTTGTTTTTCATAATTCGTGGTATCTGATTTTGTCAGAAAGGAATACAGAGTGGTCTATTACGATCATTTGTACAATTGCTTTTCAAACTGTTTCCGAAAGAATATCTTTGATAGAACTCAAGAACCGTGCTTTGAAGAAGATATTTTATCATGGTGTGTTCTACCTAACTTTAGTATCTAATCTATTTTTAGAAGCTCATAGCTTCATATGTAGAAGATTATCCCCTCTCAAAGAGATATTTCTCCTTTTATGTGTGATTGTTGAACAAAGAATAACGCATTTGATTTTATAACTTAGCAACAGTTGTCCATACTGACAAGTGAAAACTCATATTTTGATGTTTCTGAGATCTCCGTTTATAGTAAATGAGAATCAGCTGCATTCACATAGTCTAAACTTGGCCTTTTCCCAAAATTAAAGGGACATCTTTAAAGTTAATAATTAATATGTTTATGATGAGATATTTCTATCGGAGCAAAGTAATTTAATAAATAAATTCTACTTAAAATGTACTTTAGGAAAACGAATAGTTCAAAAACAACTGCATGAGAAGATTACAATGGGATAGTCTGTACAAAGATACATTCAGGATTCGAAAATAACAAGAAGAAACCAGATAAACGAACGTTTACAAATGATCACTCTGACTGAGTTACAATGTGTCTTATGTGCAATAGTTATTTCCAACGGATACCGGTTTACTGTTTATTTGTTCAGTCTCTTCGCTTTCTATACTCTCCAATAGCAATTCTCTAAAATAAGGAATATAATTTATCGAAATCTTAGCGTTGTTCTACGTAATATAGCCGAAGTAATTGCCTTTCCAAATAGTTGGTAATATTTGATTGCTTGATTGATTAAACTGTTACTTATTATTAGTGGAAAATGACTATAACTTGAATGTAAACTCATTATATCATATATATATTCATACAGACTTTCTTCTTTACTATCTTTGAATTTTACACTTATACTTACAGTATTTTATGTAATGAATATTTTATAATTAAAATTAATGATTATTTTTTATGTTTACTAAAATTATATTCATGCTAGTTGACGTTATGATACACACCTTCGCTTTTTCTAGAAAACATGAACTGATTACAATACAATTTAGTGTTGACAAGAGGTTGAATATAGACTTTACACCTGCGTTAAATCTGATGAAGAAATTCGAGCCCGTCTGTAAACATGAAATCGTTCATAAATTTCTAGTATCCGCACATGGCTACTAGCGGCACGATTACCAGAACGTCAGTGCGGTCACATTGGATGCAAACTAGTAGTAGAGTCTGACTTTAATCAGACCCAATGATGATATGTATCCTGTACTTTCAATACATCATTTCATTCGCTCTACTGCAAAATTTTTGTATCTACAATTATGAAATTTATTCATAGGTATTCACCAAAATAATTCAAAAATGCTATTTTATACACGAGTAAGCAATATACAGGGTGTTTCACATAACTAGGTGGAGTTATACTTTTAGAACGATTAGATAAATGTTTCGAGGTATGTAAGTATTTCTTTCTTGCACTAACGAGATTGCACATTATAGCTACACAATATTTTCTTTTATGAAACTATATGATTTTTCTTGTACAAATTCATTTTTGAATTTATTGTACTACATACAGAAGTATTAGGATTAGATAATTGGAAATTAAGTAATTTAAGGAATATTCTAAATTTATTGGTAAAACACATCTTTAAGCATTTTGTTATTTCTATAATTTTATTTCTATAATTGTAAGTAGTGGTTAATTAAATTAAAAGCAATTCTTTAATACAATTCAAGGATTCTATTATTTATAAGAGCAAAAGTGAATTATTTCCTGTAAGATGATTTCTTTTTACAAAAATATTTCATTCATTAGGTGAGTGTGCTTAGAATTTTGTCTTTTGAGATTTGTTTAGAAAGTAAAATATTCTTATAATTAATTTATAATGTGTAAAAGTTAAAATATTAGTATTTGTTAAAAGTAGACAAAAGAATTGGAAGCTAATTACATGATGTTTTAAATATTACAAATATTCAAAGAAATGTTTATAACAAAAATTTTCCATTATTTTTTGTGATTATAAAATTGTTTGAACTTGTGAACAAGGTTGTAATATTTTAATAGATTAATCAACGGAATTGTAGTTCCATTTAAAAAAAGAATGCAATTACATTTTGTAAATGCAAAACTATATATTTAAATATTTTATCCTCTAACTTTTTTATCTCCAATTGTTTTAAATGTATAACTCTACTTAATTACACGAAGTACTCTTTATATATGTATATGTACGTAAATAATAAATTATAAACTAATATTTTTAGTTAATGTTACTTACAAAGTATTATTTTTGCAAGAATAGCTCATCCGCCATTCGCTATGGTGCAAAGCGTTTAACAACACTGACGCATATTTCTTGAATATTAATCTTAGAAACTCTAAAAAAGAGGGTGTTGTACATTTATCTCGAGCACACTCACATTTCCTCTTATCTGAATACTTACTTTTTGGTTTCTCATTTACTATTGTATACATGTATGCATCAAGTATAACCGCTGCTTTGTCCTCGATGTAATATTATTTGAAAGAATGTGCATCCAATGATATCGTTCTTGTTTGGAATTGATGTAAACTCGTTGGTGTCGTATAGCCACGGCACAAGTTTGTTCCACACCGCCGTGTCATAGCGAGAATAAATTTGCAACGATATTTCAACAATGCAGAACGACACGATGTACCCAAGCACGCCTAGTGTGAACAGTTCTCTATTTTTGTTTCTTTCGTTTTTCTTTTGTATGGAAAGAAAGCACGTCGAGCGTCATTGTCGTGGAAAAGAAAGAAAAGACGAGACCTAAAAAAAAAAAAAAAAAAAATTT